AGGGAGACAACTCCATGAGTCCGAACGCTGGATCCGGACAGCCCAACTCGTGGCGGGGAGACACTGGGACGTGGCGGAGCCCGGACAACACCATGAGTCCGGCCACTGGATCCGGACAGCCCAACTCGTGGCGGGGAGACACTGGGATGTGGCGGAGCCCGGACAACACCATGAGTCCGGCCGCTGGATCCGGACAGCCCAACTCGTGGCGGGGAGACAACACCTGGTCTGGAGCCTCCCCGGGTGGCAGGTCTTCGAGTGGAGAGAGGACAGGTGAGATGATTTGTGCATTTTTCCACTAAAGCCATTTCTTTCAGACTGTGACATGTACAAGATGTACATGTATGATCATGTTCAGTAAATATGACATTTAAGAGTCCCCTATTTTGTTGTAAATAATAGATCAAACACATCCTTCCACCTTCTTATTCTTTGTCATCTTGCTAAGTCATGATGTCGTAAAACATTATTATATTCTGTTAGAATTTAGCCTAAATTCACAGTATGTGTTTCGTGGTCTGATCAGACATCCTATTTCTAATATTTATTACAATATTACGTTCATGTACCTGCAGTTCGTGTTGGGGCCGAGCATCGGCAGGTGTATGCCTCACCTGACGCGATGACTAGAGCGCAGGGGGGAAGGTCCACCACCGCCAGGGTGAGGATAATGGCGGCACACCTTTTCACCCGAGATGAGTTGCTAACAAGGACGGCAGGGGGGGACGCCAGGGGCCCAAAGCTGGACTTCAACACCATAGAGGCCATAATTGGTGAGACTTAGCATTTTTTTTATCTTATGTTACATCCTGCCAATTTTGGCCATCTGATTCTTCAATCTTTTTTGCCACATCCAGTAAAATTTTGCCACATCCAGTAAAAAAATATAGGCTTGATTAGGACAACCAACCATACATATGCAGTAAATTATAATTGTCAATGTATTGACACAACGTCACATGCTCCGTTAACTGACTAAATGGTTAAAATCACGAATGTACCTTCTCATCTCACGCATTGAAACATGTATTGTTTCTTTATTTTTACAGAGTGGGCGGCGGAGTACGAGAACAGGGTGGTTGATGGCCGACTGAGGCAGGACGCCATCTCGGCTATCAACGCAAAATGCCGCCACATGCGCAAGGAGGCCCGAGATGCCCAGAACCAGACAAAACACAAATAAAGAGGACAAAACATCACCTCACCTCACATTATCTCTTGAAACACAAAGCACAATAAAGATCATGTGATATGTATATGGACCGCTTCTGTCATTTCTTAATCGTTCTTATTCCGTTGAATTCTTGCTCACCTCACAGATTTCAAACAATTTTTATTCTGTTTAAACAGGAACAAAGTAGCGTTAAGTTTATATTCGTTGGAGAAAAATAAAAGGCATTCGGGACGTACAACTATACCATATTTGTATTCAGTGTACGTGTGGATTTTTAAAATGAAGTCAATTTGCGGTTTGGTTTGGTGAGGAGGGGAAGATGTTGACTTTTCTATCATATTCTATCGATGTCACTACGAGAACGTTGCATATGATAGAAAGGTCACCATCTTCCCCTCCTCACCAAACCTCTGCTTGCAGAGTACCTGTGTAGCCCATCAGTAGCCCATCAGTGCTGTCTGTCGCCCCTCTGTATAACACCGACAGATAGAGTTTTTTTTAAATCTTTCTTTATTGATTTTTCCAAATAAATTAACGGTTACAAAATATGGCATGGCAAAGTGCAAAATAGAGTTAAAGATAGAGTTAAATCAGCCTTCTTTCATTACAAATACCGATTATTGCATCCAGTAAACAATACCGTGACTTGATACCTTAGCCTGGTTACCAAACCTATTATAGATCCCGAGTCCTACATCCTCTCTGCAAATAGATCGGGGACTATAATAGGTTTGGTAGCCAGGCTATTGATACCTTGCCTCACAGTGCTTGATTCCCGGCCGCTTGAATGAACTTGAGAATTTTTTGTTATCTAGTCTGACTCTTCCCAGTTCGATCCACTCCTGCGTGTCGGTGCTCAAAATGAAGGGCACAAATACAGGTGTTTAAGCTCAAACTTTAGAAGTAGGATTAGGAAATGGTAATATACTGGTGAACAAAAACTGAGTAGACTCGGAACGGAACGGTACTTTTCAATGAAACTTTCAGAGTTTCAGGCTGATATACCGTGAATATGACAGCTTCTCTGTTATTGACCTTAGAGGTACACACCTTTCTTTTTTCTTCTAATTTGGAAATGGAAAATGGTGCGACCCAAAAGTGCGACACTCCAAAGTCATTGTAGTTTTTAGGTATTTTCCCAGTGGAAGAGACATCATTTACCATGTGTGAATGTCGAAGGCCTTTTACTGGTGTTACCATTTTGTTTCTGAGCATTTGTGCTGAATATTTCGGAAGTTATGACTGGACTATGAATGTAAGGTTGTCAAGAAAAACTTAAATTTTTCATCATGGTACAAGGTTCGCTCAAGAATAACTCAAAAGTGCATGTTATCACCACAAAAATTCATATATAGACTAAGCAAGCATTCATGAACGTTTTGTATAAATTTGGAGGAAATCCGTTTTATAATGGGCGAGATATGAAGTAAATACGATCTTCCCATATCTCCCTGTGCGAACCCGTTTTGCAACCACTGCGCACCGAGTTGGCTTTTTCTGGTCCATTTTACTCGCATATCGCAAGGGGGCGATTTTCTTTCTAAGACAAGAACGGAACGGCATTTTTCAATGAAACTTTCAAAGTTTCAGGCTGATATACTGCACTTATTGTGGTGTTAATATGACAGCTTCTCTGGTATTGACCTTAGAGGTACACACCTTTCATTTCTCTTCTAATTTAGCAAGGGATCTGAACATCGAAGTTCGCCAATGCAGCG